AAAAACCTCCATGGAAGTGAAAAAGTAACTGATGACATGACATATCCTGTCAATAAAATATCCTGGCAGCTGCTATGGCAGGAACTAAATAGAAACTAAAACTTTTGCTTCTTCTGCATCTGAGGTGATAACGCATTCTTGGTTGGGTCTTTTAACCCCTCCCAGAGCCTCTTTGATCAGCTACAGACCTAGGCATTGATATGGGGTTGCTGTGATTGCAGGTGCACTCCTTGTACAGGAGGACCGGCGCCAGTTTCCAGAAGGCCCAGCAGGAGTTCTCCCAGGGAGTCCTCACCAACCGGACCTTCCAGAGTGCGGCTACTTCAGCTGCCTCTTCTGCAGCCCAGGGTGCCTTTCAGAGGAACTAACCTAGCTGGTCACTCCACCTTCTCCACTCCTGCGTCACCCCAGCCTTCCTTTTCACAGAGACGCACTTTCACAGAATTCCAGCGGCTGCATTGTGTGCCTGCCCTGAGAAAACTCTCGTCTCGTCTGTGTTTGGTTTTGAAAAGTAAGACTCTTGGCGGGGACACTACAGAACAGTGGAATTGTCTCCACTCCAAAAGCAGTTCCAGAGAACAGGTGGAGCAATTGCAGTGTTCTCTAGTACAGGGGTTCTCAACCTTCTGTGGCAGGGGTGACCCCCTTTTGAAGAAAGCGATCTCAATTAAGAGCTCCAGATGAGCACAAGTAATTCATTGAAAAATGTAATGATTATTTTTGATTAAGTATTATGAGTTGAATTTTAGGTTAAAATATACACTTCAAGCATTGTCACTGCAGATGTGTTTAGTATTGGATTATTAGTTTTACACACTACAGAACAGGGAGTGAAATTCTTCCCTTTGTTTCTGAAGGTGATCTCTGAGGACCCTGAGCTGTCCCCAGATCCCTGGTTGAGAACCACCTCTCTAGTACATATTGGCACTATTACCTTAGTAATGGTTTGTTTAGTGTGTTATGTGTGACTTTTTTTCTCCACCCCCTAGTTTAAGGTCTTTGCAGTCTTTGTGTCACATGGAGAATGCACTTTTCTTTTGATTTTCCTGATGAAAAGATCTTGACAACTTCTTTTCAAGCTGAAACCATGGAGGGGGATGTGTGCACTGGCGCTGCTGTCCCAGAAGCCCTTGGTAAGAGCAGGGGTGTTTGATTTTGGCATTGCAGTATGTGACCTGCTAAGAAGGAAAAGGAACACCAGCGGAAAATGTTATTTTGCGAATCAAGCCGAATGCCTGGTTAAAAAAAAACAACTAAAATATTAATTTTACCAAGTGGCAGTTTTTCCTTCACATGGGGGGGAAAAAAGCATTTAATCTGGATAAAACTGAAGTTAAAAGTTGGAATAAGAAGCTTTCTATGTGTCATGTTGCCTTCAGCATATCCGGCTTGGGGAAATCCCTCTCTCTGGACAGAATGCTTTAGACATTGATTCTTAAATCATGTTAATAGACCTCTACAATAGCAAAACTAGGAGAAACAGCTGGCTTGTCATCTAAATGACAATCCTGAGGCGTCCGTGAACGAAAATCTAATTGTACTGCAGCTCATGAAGCCAGAGCACACATACCTTTTAATCCATAAGTGCAGACAACTGGTGTGAGGGGCTAGATTACAAAGCACAGGATCAATCATGTTTAGATATACTGTGTGGTAACTTCTTGTCGCTGCTTCTGATTTCCGGACAGGTATTCAGTGGCCAATGTTTTACTAACAGGGCCAGGGAAGGATGTTATCTATATTTAACAACTTCCAAATTTTAAAGTGTATCTTTAACACACTTAAATGATATGGAAATCTGAGATAAGGGCTGAGGACACAATTCTTACAAAAAAAAATGTAACCATGTCCAAAGTCCCACTGAAATTCTTTCTTCATGGAGTGTGGGAAGCCAGCCCTGGGTGCAGTTATAGTTTGACATTGTGCTAAGTGTTTTTGATGTCAGACATGCAGAGATACTAAAATAACCTGCCAGTGTTTTTCTTTGTGATCATGGCTGATTAAAAGGAGTAAACGAGTGTCACAATGAGTTTATTTTTGGAAAATAAAAGTTGAAACAACGTGTTTTTAAAGACAAGGGCAAGTTTCATCGTGTGTCCACCATTATGCTTCTTTAAGGTACTTTGCACTAATGGGGCCTTTTCATAATGTAGGAGCTTGTTTTAATTATTAGACTAAAGTGGTAGTATCACTTTTTAATATATAGGCCTGGAAGGGCATCATTTTGTGATTCAATAGGAAAGACTTTGCAATCTTTTTCTACATGGAGAAAAGAGAGGCAACTAGAAACTGGAGAAGTTTTCACAGAGAAAGGATGAATGTATTTATATTACAGAACAAATCTGCTAAGAGAAACTGATCCATTCGGCACAGATCTAATAAATCAGTGCAACAAAGTAAATCTGCCACTTTAACTATTAAAAAAGGTTTAAGGTGTGAAATCTATGTGTATTTTATTTTTCACTTTATAGTGAACTCATAGAGTTCAGTGTAATTCATTCAGATGACCTTGGTTTCCAATTATGATGTAATACCTGTTGTTAATTATATTGGTGTTGTAGAGGCCTTAACATGTGACATGATGATGTTATCTTAGAAAATAAATAAAATTAATTTTGTGTGTATTTAGCTCATGAAAGCCCCTGATTTTATACTGCAGGTCAAGTGTGAAAGACTGCAGTAAAGATTACATCTGTGTTTTTTGTTTTAGAAAAAAAACATTTGTGTGGTTGTCTGCCATTTGACAGTCTCCATATACTACATGAGGACCACAATTTCATTCCATATTGTGAGATATTTATTATTTCTGGTCGCTTTATTCTACAGTTGCATGTTAAAGATTCTGGACTAAATGGCCTGGCTGACTAGTCAGTTGGCCATCTTAATTTTTTTTTATGGGGATGGTTGGTGAGGAGATTGAATGTTTAGACCAGAGAAGCCACTAAGGCTTAATATAAAATTGTAGGTTTTTTTATGGAAGTGTCCTTTCACAGCTTTAAACAAAAGTGTTTTCTTTGTTAAGATGTGTAAGGGTTTTTAAGGTAATGCCAAGATATGTACTATGTGCTATTTCAATATGGATGTTATAGGTAAGAGGTTCCTCAACTCTTTGTGTACATGGGGAGCATTCTTCCAGCTATAGTTTCTGATTCAAGTTGGTTAAATTTATGTGAAAGCAAATTGGCATAGAATGATATATGAAGTAATGAAATTATATGTGCTAAATTATAAAAAATCATTATGAAGGGTTAATACCTCATCTAAAAATCTAGGTTTCGATTTTGATTCTGCATGGTTTCTAGCTTTTACTAGCGACCACCTGGATGGTCTTTTTGGATCCAGTTTGTTTACCACTAGGCTGATGGAAGAAGATAAAACCAAAACAATGTGTAGTTTCTGTATTGATGCAGGATTAGGTTTAAGACACCCTCGCTCGTTCTTACTATGTTAGATGATATTGCCTCCTTTGGAAGTTAGGTTTATGCTTTATGCTCGTGCTGTATTTTCTGTATCTACATGTCAATCCCAAAATTATTAATTAATAATACTTATTTTCTTCAGCATTCTTGAGTTTCACATACAGTATCTTTCTTCTTAGTTCTAGAATCCACTCAAGTATATGATGTAGATAATGTAATGTTCAATAGACAATAGAGCTTTGATGATTTCTCTGTCTCAGAAAAATACTTTCAGTGCACGACTTATCCATTTTTCCTCAGAACATTTGAAAAAATTTGTGAATGGAGACAAGAGTGTTGCTCAGACCTTGTTAGTGTGTTTCTCACTCTGTTTTTTTCTATTTTGAGTGTCCTTGCATCAAATGTACAAGTCACATATTTGAAGTGATTAAATACTGAATGATATTGGAAATTCCAGGGTCACGTTCCTGTGAGGTTAATCATGGTGTTAGTTAATTGACCTACAATTGTTAAGACAATTTGAACTTCCAATTTTTTTGTCATTGAATATCCAGAATTTTGAATAAGTACAAACAAGGTCCAGTTTAAAAAAATATAAAATATTTGCTAGATTTTCTTAAAATTAAAGAATAAATATCCGTAGGTCATCTAGGAAGAAAATCTTTCCTCTATTCCAGTGCATGGCAATGTTATCTGAGCTTCCATGATTTTCACGATGACCTGGTTGAAAATGGACTGTATTGTAAGACTATACACTGTAGGACTGTATTTTTTTGTCTCCTCATTATGAAGGTCAGTTTATTTTTCGAAAATTGTATTACAAGTTTGAACATTAAAATAATTAAATTTCAGTACTGCAATGGAAAGCTCTGTTCTATTTTTGCCCTTCGTCCATAGGCCCGCGTTGAGCCATAAAGAACATTGCAATCACTGTGTTGTATTTAGGTGCTGTTGCATATACACAGACACATCCTTTACTGATGGTTTGTAGTGCAGGAATTCTCCATTTATTTTACAGATTTCTAAAAGCACACAAAGATCTGGGTGAGAATGTTAGCTGTCTTTGTTGCAAATGAGTTATTAAAATGTTTTGAGTGTCAGTGTCTTCTTTATTTGTATGACTGTACATGTAAAGTCTGTGAAATAACCTTTTTTTGCTCAAATAAAAAAGTGTTGTAAGGATCTTCTCAAAGAGGGTTTTTCACTGACCACTTGCAACCAGCAGACAACCCGTATAATTATGCTCACCCCGGTAGCTGAACTGCGATATTAAGCCACTTGAGGTCAGACACTTAATGGGGCATTATTTGAGTATTTAAAACCTGTGATGTTTTTTCGCGTTAGTGCTCTGCAACTAACACATTTTGCTTCGAAGAAGACATTTCAACAAAAGTGGATTCATTGCTTTTCTTTGATTTGTATTAATTGCTACTTTTCATTGCGGGTATATGCTAATAACTACCCGAAGCTTTAAATTTGCACCCTGCGGTTCTGCGATGTTTTGCTCGGTTTTATTCCACAGCAGTGCGTGTGAAGGTGGTTGGCAACATTAGACAACGGGAACCGGCTTCCTATTCGCTTTATCATTAAAAATAAAAGTTGCTTCGGGAAAAAAAGAACGTTATTTTATCCCCCCTTGAGATAAGTAAAACACAGTGCACTTCCTGTAGGGCTGTAACCTTGGAAACGGACAACTTCCTGTGGCTCAGTTTTGTGAAGATGGCGGAGGAGAAGGCTCAAACGGTGAGAGAATTCTAAAGAAGCGTTATAATGTTGAAGTACTGGTAAACTGTGTGTGTTACATATACGTCTGAAAATAGACAGCATATAGCTACATGCATAATAGTAACACGAGGTTAGTATTGATGATCTTGCGATGTATCTTAAACTGTAGGCATTGAGTGAAATTATATTGGCGGGGGTGTTAGCACAGAACACTTGTTTACATAACCACAAAGTAAGTGTCATTATATTGCCCATCATTACGTCCTTTCGGCAATTATTTGACTCTTGCTGTGAGAATATCATTTGCACAGGTAGGACGCTGAGCAGTTATCCATTTTCTTGTTCGTGTTATAGCGATTTGGAACTTGAGAGTACAGTGTTGTGGTTTCCTGTACTGTAATAGTGGTATGTCAATTTAAAACATGCAATTTGCAATTGAATCTCTTATTTTCCCTTCAAAATACTAAGAATGATTTACCCATACTCATATTTGTGTTAAGTGTAATACCTTTCGCAAAGCTAACATAATTTGTTGATGTAACTGCGGACAGAAAGGCATAGTTAAGAAAGCAAATCTCTGGTATAGTTATTTTTTGATCTGCACATGCATTTTTCATTTCGTTGGAAGCTTCCATGTTTTTACCACTGTTCGTTGTAAAAACGGGACGGGGAGATACAGCACTGCAGTGAGTGTTTACCATTGCACAGATTCTGAAATCCTGCATTTACAGCCTGACTAAACTAAACCTTTGCTCTTGTAGATGTTATGCACAAACTTTAGATGCAGGTTTAATTATGTAGAGAAGGTAATAATAATCCTGTCACAGCTCTTTCTGTAATCCAATCAAAAGGCTTGAGAGGTAGCATTTCGGAAGTGTGTAGAGGTGAACTCGTTTTTCATCATCATTTAAAAAAAGGCACTGATAGTTTGGTGCATTTGAAAAACAATGAGAACATATTCTTATATCGGATGTAAAGGCTTGTTTATTCATATTTGCATCCTAAATTCTTTCACAATTTATAATTTGCTTTCAATGTCTGATTCATATCTGATGAAAGTATTAGGGGGCATTCACCTTGTTAAATTCAATGATCGCAATTATTTTGTATAATAACACTTGAGCCTGTTTATAGTTTGGCAGTTTGCCTTGATTTTTATTTAATTTATAAGAATACATGAGTGATAATTTAAAAGATTCAAAGACCCGAAGAAGGCTTCCTTTCTTGTCTTTTCAGCATGGAATAAACCTTTACTTGTTCTTTTTTAACAAGCTATGAAACATTAGGGTGAGTAACCCTGTCAAGCACTGAGCAACTACAGTAACAGGTGGAGCTATGTAACAGGTATGAGCGAAATAGCTCTAAAATAAAATCCTTAACATCCTTTAGCTCACAAACGTGAAAATAGGATATGACAACAATAAAAAGGCTTGTAGCAGACCTGTCTGTATTAAGTATGGGTTTCTGTATTTCAGAATCCACAGCTCCCAGTGGGAACAGAAATTAAGAAGACTCGTCCCAAAAAAGGTGTGTGTTTTATGAAATATTGGCCTTATTTTCCTCTGTGGTGTATTACTTATGGTATCAAAACAAATGTCATGTTTATGCTCATTACAGTGTGTATTTATGCATGTGTCCTTATTTTCCTTTTTCCTTATTAGTTTAAAAAATGTCCTGCTATATTTTTCCTAGCCATGGTAATGGACAGAAATGTCCTGTCCTGCACAATGAGAGAGCAGTCATGTTCTTGCACCTTATACCTCTGGGATAGTCATCATAATATTCATCAGGATACCTGTCTTACTGTTATGGATAGAAACGTTTATTTAAAGGAAGTAAAGGCGGCTTCGTAATTTTTTTAAAAGTGGTCCATCCCTCCAGTCCAGCTTAGACTTTTAAACTGTGTCCCCCAATCTCAAACCTTTCAGAGGTTTTTTTTTTTGCCAATGTTTAAAGTTGCATTACAGTTCTATATTATGGCATTAGTTCTGGGGAAGTCAAGGTCACAGGTCTTTCATTTGAAAAATATTACCACATACTGGAGATTGCTTAACTGGGTTGGACAAGACCCACAGATCTTACTGAAATCATTCTTCCTTCTGAGGATATTGTTTTGATTGCTTTACTTGTTTCACATGAACTCTCGTGCATTCCCAATTAGGTAACACTTCCAACATATGCAAACCCAACAGATGTTAAAAAAACACAATTATATTGGTACAAAAAAACCCCACCATAACATGCTGAACATCACAAAAAGTTTTCAATATTTGATTTACTGTAAATGCATTTCCATCCCTGGCATATGGTTATATATATTCGATAAAATATGTTTTAACAAAGTGGTTCTTGATTTGCAAAGAAATTGATGTATTTCAATCCATTCTTTTCTAAAATAGTGTGGTGCTGTAATTGTTTTCTGTATTGACAGAAAAAAACTATAACCCATGTGTTTTCTTATAAGAAAGCTAATAACATACATAACTTTGCCTGATGGCAAGATGCCCAGAAGCTCCCCTTGAATTTAATACTACTGTATATTGAATTGATTGTGTTTCTTATTATATTTTGACATTTTTCCCCCGTGGAATCAGTCATGAATGTCTTGTAATCCTGTGAAAGAAACAGTATAATTTTTTTTATCTTGAAATTGAAGATCATTTTATTTTCTATTAAAATAGTGTTCTAATGTTCTTGTCTATGAAGGCGAGACACAAAAAGATGGGACCGTTTATATCTTGAAATAAATTGACTTGAAAAAATACCTTTGCATCCCAAAAAGCTTTAGATATTTTCATCATGCACTCTTTATATCTTTCCCTGGAGGCTAAATTTAGGAACATAGTTTTCAATGTTTACTTAAATTGGAGATTCGGTCACCTCACAAACTGTAAAAGGTAATAAAACTGACTCAATTGACCCTGATTATCTACCCTCCTTTTCCACTTTTCCATGCCAATTTGAGATCAACAATCCAGAATCCAGAATAAAGCATCCAGAATCATCTCTGCATCTTGCACTGTCCCAGGAAAGCCATAGACACACCACATTTTCTAAAAAACATATTGGTCTATTGTTCCTTTTTGCACAATGATTCCGAAGAAGGGTACACTAGAGCTGAAGCAGCAGCAGCTGGTGGAAGACATCATGGCTATAACTGATGCTGCCCAGTTCAGTCTAACCCTGGCATGTAAGGTTCCTGTACACAGGAATCACTCAACTGCATTTGGACTCTCTGGGTCACTACCAAGTAATCTAGCCTAAGAAGGAGTCTGTAATCCACAAAATGTACGATCGTGCTGCAATGAGAGAGAAGAATGGGTTTAATAATTAATAAATGCTTACACTTTTTTCTGGACACTCCACTCAAAGAGCTTTACAGGTAATGGGGATCCCCTCCACCACCACCAGTGTGCAGCCCCACCTGGATGATGCACCAGAACACTCACCACACACCAGCTCTCAGTGGGGAGGAGAGCAGAGTGATGAAGCCAATTCATAGATGGGGATTATTAGGAGGCCATGATTGGTAAGGGCCAATGGGAAATTTGGCCAGAACACCAGGATTACACCCTAATGTTTTTGAGGAAGGCCCCGGGATTTTTAATGACCACCGAGAGTTAGGACCTCTCATCCAAAGGATGGCACCTTTTTTTACAGTATAGTGTCCCCGTCACTATACTGGGGCATTAGGACCCACATAGACTGCAGAGTGAGCACTGCTGGCCCCACTAACACCTCTTCCAGCAGCAACGTTCGGGTCTCCCATCCAGGTACTGACCAGGCTTATACCTGCTGAGCTTCCGTGGGTTGCCAGTTGTGGGTTACAGGGTGATATGGCTGCTGGCTATAAATCAGATTATTTGCTGGAGAGTCCATAATATTTGTATTTTTTTACTTTTGTAAATGTGTAAATGTGTGCAATGAATTTATTTTCAGTAACACCTACAGTAGTTAACATTCAAATTAAAACATCCTGATGCTGATTGTACTCGGTTAAAGAAAGTGGAGAAAATTGAATCAAGCCACAGTGCTTCTCTTTTCCAGTAGGTGTCACTATAAGAGAGAGGGAGTTCCGCAGCCCCATCAGCAAGGAAAGAGGATTAAAGCTTAAGGAAAAAATAAGTCCAGAAATAGAACAGCATTAAATCTGATTTGTTAAAAGGCAAGCAGGCGCTGTGCCATCCACCCTTCATAATTAGTGCAATGTCTTTGTTCAGCAGCACATTGGGTTTGGAACAAAGTCACTCTGACTGCCTCCCTGCTGGCAGGAATCAGTGCTGTGACTCAGCAGGAGCTTTAGCAGACTGATTCATAGACTCACAGATTATCCTTTAATGAAACAAACAACATTTATAGTTACTGAGATGCGTGTTGCTGACTGCATCCTGTCTTTATAATCACAATCCATGAAATCCATACCATACCACTTGAAACAGACCCCTTTCTGCTTGTTGTATTGAAGCCTGTTCCCTCCAATATGTTCACTGCTTTAGCATCAGCGAGCAGAGGGCCAGTAATATGATTTGTTCGTCATTCATTGCTTTAAATGCACAGTTAGTATAAAATACCTTTTGACATTTTTTTTTATTTAAAATTTTTATTTTAATTTCAAGTAATCTAATCTGGTATTCTCTCTAGTAAGAGGTTTCTCCTTTTTATATTTTTAAGTCAGTTTTGCCTAAATAAATGTCCTCCACAATGCGAGCCAAGTACATTATTAGGGAGCTGCTTATAGATTCTTTGATGGAGGGGTGAAATGTCCAAGAAGTGTCCTGCATGGAGGTCAATGTCTTAACTAACACAGCAAACTACAGTATATACAGTCATGTGAAAAAGCAAGTACAGCCTCTTTCAATTCTATGGTTTTACATATCGGGGCATAAATAACAATCCTCTGGTCTTCACCAACTTCTATAATTAGACAAATCTAGCCTCAGATAACAGACAATACATAACAGATTTCACCAAGTATACCAAAATGCAGAAACCATGTGGGAAAAATTAAGCACACCCTTACTTCTTCCATAGTAATTAAGAAGGTAATTAGCAGCCAGGTGCTGCTAATCAAATGCACTAGATTAGTTGATTAGACTGCACGTATATTATATATATATATACTTTATATGTATAACCTACATCTGTCTAATTATAACATTACATTCATGCATGTTTAAATATTAATTATTGTGTAGTCTGTATTTGAACTTGAAAGTTCAAAAGCCTTTTAATGTATTCTGGTCCAGCCAAAATATTTTGGGAGTACTATACACAAATATTAACAGTCTTTAAATGACTAAAAGTGGCTGAAATAACTATGGATCAATATTCAGTGGGTAAATAATCTTCCGTAATTGCCCCAAGTTTTCTCTAAGGAAGCCATAACCATGCCTTCTGTAGAAAAATATTTAAATATACCTGTATATATTGAATGGCACATTTAATGGATCAGCCAATTGGTTTCCTACCAATTATCTAATTTATTGATACACTATTATAATAAAACTATGAGAGCTGTACCACAGTAAAAAAGCAGTCTGTTTATGTGCAAGAAAATCTTACAAAGTGTTTTTAATTGGTGTAATGTTTTTTTGTTGATCAAAATGGGTTACAAAACACTTCATACCCTTGAAGGGATTGCACCTGATTGTTTTAAAATCTGAAGAGCCAGGCTTTATTCAAACCTTTGTCTTGCCATTTTTCTTTGTTCTACGTGCGTCTCCTTTGTCAGCGCTGTCCATGCTTATCTGTCTGTTTTTCTCTCTATGCCTCTGCTCCTCATTTCTATGCTGTGCTGTGCTTCCCCTCTGCCTGTCTGCACTTCTTCCCATTCGTGGAGATCTGTCTCGCAAGCACTCCAGTGGCTCCCCGGACACTGGGGGCTCCTTGTTACCTTGGCAACAGGGAAAGGTGCCACTTGCCTAGTTCAGACTCCACGGGGCTGCCAACGAAAACAAATACATCGAACAGATCCCGCGTTGTCATCAATCCTGCCCACAGCAAGTGCATTTGACCATAATGGGGTTATGACAGGAAACTGATTTAATCCTGGATTGACCAGAAGGGGAACCGGGGCCTGAGCAGGGTCATCTCTCCTAACACTTCATATTCAGGTTCTGTGACTTGCGCGTCAGTGGAATCCTAGTTGCACATTCGCGTTCGAGCAGTCAAATGTGGTGTAATGGAAACCACTCCAAGAACAGCTTCAGAACATGTTACATTGGCAAGAAGGATGAGCTGAATGTAGAGTATATGTATATTCGCAGGTAGATTCGATTGTGGTGCTTAGTAGATTAACTGTGTGCTCATTTTGAAAAGAAGGTTGCTTGATGTTCTGTATCTATTGAAGGCCCATTCTTTACTCACACGTTAGTGTAAGATATACCGGTATACTGTTTTATCCTTTTATGGTGATCTTGATTCCTTTCCACCTATTGGTCTACATCAAGTCCTCTCTTACAGAACAATGATCCCTTAATTCTACTTAATATGGCAAATAGACAAATAAGAACAAAATTATGTTTAATGTTTTAGAAAGAATTTATCTAATCTAAGTTTGAAACTGCATCTCCAGCACCCACTCAGAATTTTAATACATTTCTGTATTAAAGGCATTTTTCCTGTAAAACCCCAAACGCCTCAGCTAATGCCAGTGCTTAGACATGACTTACCGTTCTGTGACGAAAATAAAAAAATCTTTTGAAGCAAGGGGAAGAAAAAGGAACACAGATGGAAAAATGACAGAGAAAAATGAATGCCTTCTTTTAATAACATGTCGGACTACATCTCTGCCTTTTTCAGTATGACTGTACAGTGTAAAGCTCTGTTTCAATATTTAATTGAATACATTATCTCATGTAAAAAAAAATATAATATCTCCAATGCTTGCTGTTGCTAAGATTCTCCTGATTGCCAGTACGATTGCAATAATGTTTTCTATACAAGGGCAGTCAGGCGTGGTCCTTTTTTATCACAATTAGTCATTAAACCTTTCGGGAGTTGAGCTGCAGCAAGACTCGTGCAGACCAGAGGCACCCTCCAAAAGATAAAAAGACTCCTGTATTCAGCTCCAGCTTTTACTGTTGAGTCTGTAATACACATAGAGCTTACCTCCCATGGGCAGGAGAGTGGGAGTGAGTGAGGATGAGATGAAGCAGTGTTAAATGATAAAACATAAGTAGCCTGCAAGACAGATGTGTCTGTTGCTGTTGAGGAGGAATAACAAGTGGCCCCTCGACACCTTTACTCTGTTTGTCTGATCAAGGTATCGGTCAGATAGGAGGCAAGAAGGCCCTTTACAGGCAGGGCTGGCTGGAAAACAGCCCCTTGCCTCGGTCACCGGTCACCCTTGGCGTGGTATGGCGCGAAGGGATAAAGTGCTGTGCCGTATCAGATCTGAGTGCCGTGTCTGTTCTGCTAATATCTTTCATTCAGCACCAGAGCTTCCCATCCTGGAAAGGAGGAACTGGCTCATCCATCTCCACTATATCCGAAAGGACTATGAAACCTGCAAGGTAGGAATCACACCCACTTTTTGGCATCTCTATGGCCAAGGTTTAGAGCCTGGAAATACCAGCCATTTGTATTTTACATGCGTGCCTTCACCACTCAAGCACAGGGGTGGAATATTTAGTACTGAATGGTGGGATTAGATCTGTTCCTTGTTCTCATTTGGCTTGTGAAATCCAGTATGAATTCATCAGTTTGCAGACTGTATAGAGAGTAATGAAACACATGCAGTTATGCCCAGTTACTACTGAAGTGCAGTACCTATGTGGAATTTGTGTCAGTACACTTTTGTCTAAAGGTAAGGGAAACTTGTTGGGCATGGTCTTTTTGGGGTATTTTTTTGGCTAAAAATTATTTCATGTTCCAATAAGCCTGTACTTCATTCTTTTTAAAAGTTAAATACATTTCATTTATAACAGGACAAGAAGGATTCATTTAGTTTTTGAGGAACTGTTTTAATGCTTGGTGATTGGTTCTATATTGTTTTTTATGCTGAACGCAAGCAGGTGTCTGAATCAATATCTACTTTGGACATATATAAACATGTAACTAATGACCTTGTTCCAAATTAATTCAAACATAAATTTAAAAATGAGATTATTGTGGCAGTAGGATCTGAATCTATTGGTTGATTGTTTGCTGTAGAGATATGCTGTACAGTGCTTCTTTGTTTCCTTTCATCTCAGAATACACTCCGAACACATTAATATGATAACCCTAAAGTAAAGAATTTTGTATCCTTTCTGAATAAACAGCTTATTTCATAACTTGTATCTAGTTTTCTCTTTTTTGGTTAACATAAGAGTTGGCAAAGGGAGCACCAGTTATATTTAAATCACATATTTATTAATACTTGCTCTTTATTAACCTGTATATACAGACTTACAGTGCTCAGGAAATCCACTCTCAGCAGGTAAACACTCCCCACCCTCACTCCCTTTAACTAGACATGCTGGGTTTAACAGCATGATCATCACCATCTGACAGCTGCTGCTGGTTATATTTGTGTCAAGTGCAGAGGGCTAATCAATAGGTCACACAACATTTCTGACATTTTGTTTTTTGTCCTTAGATTTATTATTCGTGAATTGTTAGGGCTGTATAAAAAGAAACTCCACCAACCATAGAGTTTTTGTTCTTCATCTATGATTTTGTATAAAATGCTTTAATGAAATAGTCTATTTATGGACTGCTTGTGTTCAGTTGTTGAAAGCAACAGAATTTGTCTTGAGACTCATAGGTTTACAATTTCAGCACTGTACATTTTGAAATATTGCTGTTTATTGCTTTTCTTAATAAGATGAACAAAATCTATACATTCTATGTAGTATGCTTTTGCATGAGTTTGCTGCAAAGAATTTACTTTTTTTTACTTTTTTTGGTTTGTAGGGTAAATCATTTATAGCAATTCCTTTCTGCTGTTGAAAAGTATTGTGCATTCAAAATCCGGGATGCCTTTTAAGTGCAGTACGTTTTGTCTTGTTTATAAAGCCACTTAAAAAGTTGATTGTTTTTTTTTTAATTTAGGCTATAATTAAAGAACAATTGCAGGAGACACAGGGAATGTGTGAATATGCAATATATGTACAAGGTAAGCCATTTGTACTCTGAATTCCACTGTCATTCTCCACTGTCAAAGTGAAGCAAGCATAGTTGTATCATAAGTGTTCAAGTGAGATGCAAAATTCAAATTAAAATGAATGTATTCTGGCCGGCTTTTGTATAGACTAACTTTTCTTGCTCATTATCAGTGATTGTAACATAATATAGCTCCTTTATAATTTAAAGCTAGGCATTGCTTTATTGCTTTGTTCTAGTATATATGATATTTAAATATTTGAAAATGCTATGTGTGTGTGTTCAGCTTTAATACTCCGTCTTGAGGGAAAGATTCAGCAATCCCTGGAGCTTTTTCAGAGCTGTGCTATTCTCAATCCCAGAAGTGCAGACAACCTGAAACAAGTTGCTAGATCTCTGTGAGTACATACCTTGGGGTATTTGATCTTTTATGAGTTACTTAAATCATCTTTGTTGCCAATTTATTTTACTAAATGAAATTTCTTATCAGTTCTGTTACTGTAGCCTGCAGTTTCAGCTGTTCCAAATCAAAGGTTTTGTTTTTAATGTTAATAACTATTTTATGTTTTATTTATTTTTTTAAAAAGCAATGTTAACCCTTTTGGTATTTGCATGTAAAATATTGACTTTATTTCTTTATACCTAACCGCTGTCAGATACTCCATGAAACTGTGTGTTACACAATAAATATACAATAACTGTATAGACAGAGGATAAATAGTTCTTTATTTAGTAAACATGGAGTTTTTATTTGCATTTTTTCATTTAGTTTTCTACTTGGAAAACATAAGGCAGCAATTGAAGTTTACAATGAAGCTGCAAAACTCAATCAGAAGGACTGGGTAAGTAAACTACTGTATAGCTATTAATGAAATCACTGACTTTCACTTTACTCCCCAGGATACTTTATGACCTTGAATACTTCAGTCATAGACCTGTTTACACATGGAATGAAAATCATATAAATTTGCATTTGGCAGGGAACTGTGTATGCTCACGTATGTAGGTTTTCTTGTAGTAGAACATACTGTATTGTGTCAGATGAAGAATCCTCATCAAGCTAGGTGGTGACATGCAGTAGTTTGAGCAGGTGTACATGGAAGAATCACTTTGGCCCTCTGGACTTCACATCACCACAGGGTCTGATAGACATGACAGTTTACAGCAGAATCTCAGAATAGACTGGTGACATCTGAGGACATTATCGATCAACACTTCCTTTCATTGGTTGTGCTTAGGTTATTGATCAAATGTGAAAATAAGTTAAGTATTACAGGACCTGCTCTGTCTTCGTGTCAGTTCCTGAGACCTACTGTAATGTACTCCTGCTTCTGTCTGTACACCCATTAAAAATGGCATTCTTGTGTTGTCCTGCAGGAGATCAGCCATAACCTTGGTGTGTGCTACATGTATCTGAAAGACTTCAAAAATGTAAGCTTTTAAAATGTATTCTTTAAATGTATGTTTAAAAAGATGAACAACAGTGATTTAAATCTAAAAAAAAAAATCAATATTTTTATTGTTTTCTCAAAATAGTTTCTGCTTAGGACATAAGTCGTAACGTTATGCAATTTTTTACTAATAAAAATATTATTGTTTTTCTCAAGGCTCAGGAGCAGTTAAACACTGCTTTGCAGCTAAACAAGCATGACTTGACTTTTGTGATGCTGGCAAAGATCCATTTGTTGGAAGGAGACATTGAAAAGGCTGTTGAAGTCTACAAAAAAGCTGTTGAGTATGTGAAACCTGCATTTATATAGAGAAACTATAAAACTACAGAACACATATGTACAGTCCATGTAAACATAGTTTTCTTAGCAGCCTGGAAAGTTATATTTTTATTAAAAATATTTAGATTTTGTTTTAAACTAGTTTCTAAGTCATTAAGCTTGTTTTATGACAATTATTAGAATACAGATCACAAGTGTAAAGGGCCAAACATTAAGAAATCTGCACTGAGCAGAAAATTATCCAAAACTAATATAGGTTCACTTCAAAGATTATATAGGTATGAAAGCAGACGCCTTTTACTTTGTTAGTTATCAATGAAGCCAATAAATATTAAATCATTTCTCAAAGTAAGGAACAATAAGTTCGTGCCGTAAGTAAATAACTTTACTAATGTGTTTGGAAATCACATCATTTAGGAAAAAAATGCATTCTTTATAGAATTGACCAGATCTTGTTCAGTATCTTCTAGTTATTTTTTCACTAGACAAATGAAAAAATAACCAGTGTGCTTGAAGAATTTCTCATTATTTTTTGTCTCCTGTTAAGTTAATTAATAAAGAATGACAACAGTAGGGTCTATTTTCAATAAACAACTATGAAAAGAGCCACTGTTTTTTAATATTGTCACAGTAACCTTGCTTTTTATTTTTCTCTGACTTGACATTACTCATTATTTGCAAAATGAGGTGAATTTATTGGCATGTGTATTCGTTAAAAGATTGTGTTCTCTATAACCTTTCCAAATAAACACATTTATAATCTAACTAATGCATTGTGTTGGTTTTGAGAACCACGTATGATATCAGTATGAAGTATAACATTAGTGATTATTGATTATTTAGGTTCTCGCCTGAGAACACCGAACTTTTGACAACACTTGGACTACTCTATCTGCAGGTAAAAGATGCAACTTTAATTCTATTTATATTAGTTATAGAATGTTTTAGATTTATCTTTCTTTTGGATAGTGTATGCTATCAGAGAATGAGCGTTTCATTTATCTAGAGTTGTCCTTCACAGTGAATCTGAACTTCACATTTTAGCTTTAGGTGCAAGTGTTCATGTAGAAGGGACTAATGTGAATGAAATCCCTCATTTCGTTTTTTTATCCTTTGTGTTAAAGTTGTTCTTTGGGAATCCAGGAGTACCCCCTGTTGTTATTTGCAGATTGTTTAAAAAGATGCTTTTTGTTGAATCAGCTCCTTCTTAGACCATGTAGAAAGCTTATACTCACACAAATTTAGGATGGAGCAGAGGTTTTATTTAATTTAAGCAAATTAAATATTGTCCTTCCTGCAGCTCTATTACCTGTGCTTCACATTAGAAATTCAATTATAAATTATTTTCTAGCCTGAAAACATGAAATGTAATAGGAAAAATGAGTATTTTTTTCATTTTTTTTCCACCCAGCTTGGAGCCTATCAAAAAGCATTTGAACATCTTGGGAATGCTCTAACATATAACCCCAATAACTACAAGGTAGGCACTTAATATTTTTGTATTGAAGATTAAATACTTTCAATATTTTCAATTGGTAGTTTCTTCTCTTGTGCCCAACTGTGCTGATTGGCATGGTCACTTGATTTGGGACTTGCTGAAACCAATTCTCAAGGCCCAAGGCACCAACTGACTCTTGTAATCATTCATAGCCGTTCCAGGGACGCCAAATATAGTGGCTCTCTGAAGGCACCAGTTCTGTAGGGTTTGGGCATTTACTGAGACAATTATTAATTGTAGCAGTAAATCACAAAGTTGATCCTTTTGATGGCTTTAGAATCCAACCATGCGACATAACT